TAATTGTTTATATATTAATGACAATATATTAATATATAATTTTGCAGATTGAAAAAATATATACTATAAAATATTTTTGTAATTATAATGGTCATATTCGACTATAAAATAATAAAGTGATAGTATAAAAGTTTTCCTAATATTTCATGAAATGTTATTATAATTTACACACAAATAAGTACATATAAAAGTACATACACCTATGCACACATGTATACACATAAGTATATATTTATGCAGGCGCAAATATATGTAATATAACAATTGAAAAACAAAATATTAGGAAAATATGAAAATGTACTATTACTTTATAATTTTGTATTAATAAAATATATAAAAGCGTCTTGTAATGTAAAGTTATATTCTTCTCAGTTCATGAAAGTTATTAAAATTAATGAATTATATTTTCAAATTTTTGAATAATATTTTAATTATAATCTTATTTATCTCATTATTTTATACTTTTTATATATGTATAATTATATTATGTTATATGATATTAATAGATGTATATGATTTGTTGTTAGGGTAATTATGTGCTCGAAGATGATTCACTTCTGTGTGCGGAACAGTCGCAATTCGATACAATTCTATGTCTTTCCATCACCAAATGGATTCATTTAAATTTTGGCGATGCTGGCTTAAAACAAACTTTCAAGCGCATACATGCGCAGTTACGTCCCGGAGGAGTTCTCGTTTTGGAACCTCAAGGATGGGCTAGTTATATTAAGAAAAAGAATCTCACAGTAAGTAACTATTTTTATACTTTTAATGATTATTAACGTTTTATTTTGATGAAGTATTTATTATTAATTTATATACACACACAAACAGGTTTTTTTATTATAAAATTTTCTTTCGTACTTTTGGTTTTTATTTATTGCTGATTTAATTCTATTTTTTAGGAGCGGATCTATAAAAACTATCATAGCATCGAGTTCCGACCGCAGAAGTTTACACAATATCTTCTATCTAGCGAAGTTGGTTTTTGCAAGTGTGAAGTTATTTCTATTCCGCCTCATCCTTCCCAAGGATTTCAACGACCCATACATCTCTTCACTAAGACTGGCGGTCCCTCTTTTACTACCGAACAAACTGATAGCGATGTTATGAGTGATACGCTATCAAATCGCCAAGAGAGGATAATGAGAAGAGATCAGGCAGAGATTCGCGACATAGAGAGAATCAAATATGAGCAAGAATTATTTCCGAAAGAAAATGTCAATAGAGGTAATATGTCAGAGATTAGTCAACACAGTGGAGATTTGAATCAATATGAGCAGTTGGCGAACGTTTACGCACCCAGCACGACACCATGTTACGATACTCCGAGTCGCAATAGCGATAGTCAACTTTAGATAGTCAGCCTTTGGACACATCAAGGATAAAAGAAGACAAAGAAGAAACTTTATAAAAGAAAAGGAAAGAAGAAAGGATAAAGATAAAATTAAGATATTAATAAATTCAGAAAAAGTAAAAGATGAAGAAGATGATTAAGGAAAAGAAGAGAAAGAAAAAAGATTGAAGAAAATATTAATAAATTTTAAAAAAGGCATATTTTTGCGCGCATTTTAGCACGGAAACTAAAATCAATTTGATATAAAATTTTCTTTAATCTTATTTCCTCCTCTGAAATTAAATTAATTCTTCTGCAAAATTTGTTTTAAACCGAACTTTTGCTCTAGTTTTATTTTGATTTCTTCAGTATTATAAATTTTCTGCTGTCAAACTGTGATTCATTCGAAGATAAAGAATGACAATAGAAGAAACATATATGACCAATAAACGTTAAAAAAAAAGAAAATATCGGCTGAATAACTAACATGTCATCACCTTTAATATTTTCTATTTCATTTGTTATTAGATGTTCCTTCTTCATTTATTCTATTTATGTGTCTATTTCTTTTCTCATTTTATGTATATAAAAGAGCTGCGTTAAATCAGTATTAGGGTCGTTTCACAATAGGTTGCAATGCCCATTGCTAGTTGAAGAGCTGACTAATCAGCAAGTTGTTTTGTTCTGATGTAACCTATTGTGGAATTGATGAAAATGATCAACATATATATATATATATATATATATATATATATATATATATATATATATATATAAAGTACTTTAGGCTTCTGCATACGGAACGCGGAGACGCTGCCGCGCTGCAAGAAACTACGCGATAGCCAATAAACTTACAGCTCTTACTAAAAAGCGGTACGTTGATTGGCTACCGCATGGCAAGCGTTTCCGTATCCTGTGTATGTAGAAGCCCTAAGGCTTACTCCACCGATTGTAGTTCTGGCCTTATACAAAAATCTGTGATTTTTTTATACGCTTTTTGCATATGCTTAATTATTTTTAATTTCTCTTGGTATTATCTAATTAAAAATAAAAACTAAACAATTGGCTTTTGATGCGCCAAGCATCCAAGCATCACATTTCAATAAAAAGTACTCTAAGATATAAGTTTATATAATTATAATTTATATAATTATTATTTGATTCTTATTATTATTATCATTATTTATCTCGATATACAATATTAAAATTCGCATAAATTTCTATCTACAATACATACACGCAAGTACGCACATATGCATACACGCATATTATAAATTATATATAACACGTGTAAATGTGAATGTTTGCATACATGTATGTGTATACACATACAGAAAGGGGGGATGTTTCATTTTATAAATGTGTGTGATACAGCGATTATCTTAAAATAAAATCTTATTAAGAAAAATATTTCATATAAAAATTATAGTTTTCGAGGAAGACATAATTCAGATTATTGCCTCTATAGTTGTATTTTTCAAAATCATTTAGAGAGGTCAACATTTTTTTTAAACGGAACAAAACTATTTTTTTATATAAATTGATATTTCGTAATATTCGGCATAAAAAGTTATATATATAATATATGTATAAGAAGATATAAGGATAGCCAAAGAGTTTTCACAACTATTTTACATTTTTTTAGTTCAACACAATCTTACATAAACTATAATATATGTAATATACATATATCGTAAAATATTCATTTTCTGGCGATTTTACCTGAATAAACTTTTATATACAAAATAGAATAAGAAACTAATTGGAAAACACATTTGATGTTTTTTTTTCAAGAAAAAGTATATGTAAATTGCAAACTAGTAATTATATATATTTTATATGCAATATTTTTCTCAAAAACATATTTTATTTTTAAGAGGTTTGATTGTATCTTGTACCCCTTAAAATGAAACAGCTTGTACGTATTGTATATATATTTGTGCGTGCGTGTATATATGCATGTGTTACGCGCATTATACTGTACATATAAACATAAAATTTGTAGAAAGTGAGTGCCTGTTATAATCTTATACTACTTGGCAACGATCATGATAAACTTCTTTTAAGATCGAAAACGCGAAAAATGAAAAAAACTTGTCATTAATTTTGATAATAATTTTTCTTAGAAAAAAGTTACATGATCGCTGTCTTAAAGAACACGTGTAGAAAGAGAAGAAATAAACAGAATCTTTATTCCTCTCTAACAAAAAATAAATAACGGAGAGGGAGAGAGAAACAGAGATTCCATTTTTTAATTTCTTTTCCTTTTTATCTAGGTTTTACCGCTAAAGCATTATGGAGAATCCGCTTGATTTATTTTTATTATGTTTAAATGATAATTATTATAGGGAATTCGGAAAGTAGCGAATGCGGAAGTTCTATTTTTAAAAATCTATTTGATAGAGCAGAGTAGCTTTCAATTGACCAATTACGAAACAAAAATTTCTATTTAAACAGATTTGCATAACCACATAATAAATACACACAGTAATAATAAGTGCTCAGAAAAATTAAGTTATTAGTATAAAAATTATAATATTTTATATTTTTATATTAAGAAATGTTAGATATTCTTTATATCAAACGTTTGATATTAATTTTTTCTTTGTACATATATACTATTATGTAACTATGCAAATTTGTCTTCATATAGAATTTTATTTAATCTCGACTTTTGATGTGTTGCGAATTTTTCGAAACGCAAAGCGTTCTTCAAACATGAGAAAAAACAAAGCCTAATCGTTAATTATTAAAACTGTTTTATATTAATGCCTTGGCAGTGACAATTCTAATCGCTTTTTACTAACTACTGCGATAAATATGAAAAACATGTTTCCTTTTATTTCTCTATTATCTAAAAGATAGTGAATAAAGAATGGCTAGCTCGTAAGAGAGATGCGTTGACCTGCAACGAAGCTCTTTATAAAAACATTTATACGGTTATATACTCATGTAAACTACATGAACAACGGCACGATATTATAATCATGGATATAAGTATAGCGCAAAGTTCGACGTCTAAAAAACATGTAGAAAAAGACGAAGGATAGAAGGGAAAAATCTCTTTTAAGAAAAGATGAGTGAAAAAAGGTAGAATTTCATTTTTTTACTTTATCTACTCTGATTACTTTATCTTTGCCACCAAAACATTATGAACATAAGAACTCTATTCGGTTTATTCCATATTAATTATATACATTTTTTATGCCTAATATATGTATATAATTTAACATTTGCTTCGTCTCTGTAGAAAGGAAACAATTTTCTTATCGAAAAGAATTGAGGAAGTATGATTGTCAGAATAAACTTCAATTTAATAAAGTTCAGTAGTTATACATTAGGATTCATTCTTATATCTTCGACATTTATATAGGAGGGTCCTAGAAATATTTGGTTTTTTTGAATGGGTCATAATATTTTGATGGTAAATATTGGATATATGTATATATAAAAAAGAAAATATTGAAAAAAAGTAAAGAAGTCGATACACATATTATACGACATGACAAAATATTCATCTTTTATAAAATCGTTATTCACACTCAAAACATGTAAATATAAATATATATATCTATAAATTTATGGGAAAAATATTTTGTATATATATATATATATATATATATATATATATATATATATATATATATATATATCATATTATTGTCGTATAATATGAATCAGGACAAAAAAGAGAATTAGAAAAATATTTTTCCCCGATTTGCATATACACTGATGTTTGCAAAATAATCAATTCATGATTAAAGAGAGAGTGGGAGGAGGGAAGGGGAGGATAAAATCTTTTCTCGATCATCTCTTTCTTTCTACATATTTTTCAGACTAACAAATCGTTCGCGCGCTGAATCTATATATACTATGTCTTAAATAACATAATATATACCACAATAAAATCTACTTTTATTGTGAAGCTCAAATGTTAATGAAATATTCCTTAAAAATTTGCTTTTCGGTTTTCAAAAATTGTATTTATTGCAATCACATTTTTATGACATTAGAAAGTTTCTTTATTAAGTTTACTAATTCGTAGATAGAATTGAGAGTAAAAGGTAGAACTTTTTATAGAATATTCTCTCTAAATAAAGATTTATATGTATATAAATGTGTATAGTATGAATAACAATATCTAAATTATGTTTGATATTGAGTTGTTCATTGTCTGCATTCAAATCTTGATTTGCACGAACTTTATTTGTTATTATATAACTTATTATATATTAATATTTTAATAAATTTTTTACCAAAGGAGGCGCGCGCGATTAAAATCTTTTAAGAGTTCAGTCTAGTAATATATTATATAATTATAAAGACAACATTAAGATTAAAGTGAAGGTTATTTGAAAAATGGATAACACTAATGTAAAGATTTAGCCGTTAAAATATTGGAAATAGCATAAAATATCTGAAAGCGCAAAATATTGTGTGTCTGTGTGTAAAATTGAATTTTTCAATTAAAATTATTCTCTTCCGCACATTTATACTTCTCATTATTCGATGGGAATATCTAACATATATTATATGTTAATTTCATCAACATACGAGCCCCACTCATCGCTTAAAGTTTACCAAGAGGCGCCAGCACCTCGTACTTATCGCTACTTATCGCTACAAATACATGAATAATGGATATGTTATTTTTAGTAATTCTATTTTGTTTTATTCATCGACCAATTCCCAAAGCATCAGAGCAGCATCAGTGCCGCCGACGGTGACGATATTTTGATCATTGTAGAGGAATCTGGCGCAGGCTACCAATGAACTATACACTTTCTCCTCAATATACTCGGCCTTGGCATTGGTGCATGGATACTTAAAGAGCCGAAGATAACCTTCGGCATCGCCGCTTACCAGCATGTCATGTGCCGCTGATCTACTAGAGGTGGTGATAACTGTGGTCAGTGGATAATAACGATTGTTCCATTGTCCTGAAAACACAAAAAGTCGATATGAATGTAATTATAAGAATAATAGTCCTGTGATTTAACAATCCAACAGTGAAAAAATTTGCATAAAAAAGATAACAAAATTAATACAATACAACTAATAAAATAATGCAATTTTTAACTTTAAACATAATATAATTTTTCTTAATCTTATTTTTTAAATCTTAATTTTTAATGTAATCTAAAACAGATTTTAAAAATTTCAACAAACACTGATATATATATATATATATATATATTTAAATTTAGCCATATTATTTAGCCATATCATTCGTATATATTTAAAGTTCAATGCAGTGATTTAAAAATTTAATCAAAATTTAAAAAATATATGAGAAATTTGTTTTTTGAAGAGAAACTTTTATGTGAAGAAAGAAAAACTATAGAAAAAAAGAGATATCTGACTAAAAGAAAAGAATTTGACTATACCGTTATTTCTTTCCAATATTGAATAAGATGCAGTGGATATTATACATGCACATTAAGAGCACATTTAGAGTATCTAAAAAAACTCACCAGAAACCATATAACCAACAGTGCAATTATGAGTGTACCATTTGACGTCTTTCATAACTAAAGGACTCTTTTCTGATGATAGCACCTTGACATCCCCTAGAAAAAAATATACATTTGAATATATGCGAATAAAATTACATTCTTTTCTTTTATATTTTATTTTTATTCCTTTTTATTTTATCTTTATTAACAAATATTGTAATAACGATAGGACTCACTCAATCTACATTCGTTATCTCTATATATATCGAGGAAAATTGTAAATCATACTAAAATTAAACAGAACGTCTAACAATATTTTGACAGTATAAAATAAAAAAAATAAAAATAATGGCCGTATCTCTTTTTCTTATATTTACAACTGTATCACAGTATATGTAATTATACTGTGTTTGATGTTCGCGGAACGATCAATTTGTGTATAATTGGATGCTAAGCGGTTCTAGCAGAGCTAACTTTTTTTTAGAGAGATAAGAACGATTTTATTTACTCTTTTGTCTTTACTCTCTTTTCATAAACTGTTTAGACTTTGTTCTTAATCTATTATCTTATTATGTCTATGGCAAGAATAAAAACACATTCGCAGACAGACGGATTTGCATAGTTGCAATAAAACATATGCACAAAGAAATGAACTAAACACGCATCTATTACAATTGCAACTATATGCTTTGCATTAAATATACATATAATTAGTCAATTTTGTTATACATATTATGTAACGTTTCATACAATTTTTTTATGCAAATTCGTCTGAATATTCTTTAAAATCAATATCGCGACATGATAGATGACTCACAGAATACAAGATCATAATCTTGAGTGACAGTTTGGAGAAAGCGGCTATCAGAACTCCAGTCGAGTTGTATCAACGGCTGTGTGCCGCGGATTTTGTTGCTCTTTTTATACGAAAATCCATCCCTAGATACTCTAAAGAGATATACGCTGCCGTTTTGGGAACCCATAGCCACAATTTCTCCAGCTAGTCAGACAATAGGAAAATATTGAGATTATTTTGACATTCTCAGAGAGATGTAATTTGCACAGTATCATATAAAATTAAAGACATGTTGATTTAGATGATATGATTTAGATAAAAAAAATTTAAGAGCGCTTTTATTTTTAAAATATCTTTAAAAAATTAATATTTAATAATGTTTAAGAAAAAAGAAAATAACTGAAGACTTTGAACCAAAGATAGATGAAAATTAAATACGATAAAATAGCTTAAACACAAGAACTACTCAATTAAAATATTATCGTTTTTGCAAATTAAATTTTTTTAATTTAAATTTTTTAGACATTTAACAAGTTCAGAAATTAGAACGATTCAAAAAATACCAAAGTAATACTTATATCGTACTAGGATTATATCCGATGCAAGATAAAGGCGATCCGCAAACTCTAAGAGTTGCTACGGCGGCGCCGGTATCAGCTGCTAGTACCAAAAGATGACCTTCGGACGATCCTGCCGCTAATGCCACGCCGAATGGATGAAAGGCTATACATATGCATTCGAAACCCACCTAAAAATTCATTAAAAATATGTGCCATATACAACTTTAACTATATATCTAAAAATTGGTTCTTTTCCACTAAAAATATATAATAGAAAGAAAATATACGAAAATATATACGCTTTGTTATAAGTAAACATATCTTTTTCTATATAATAACATAAAATAAGCTTGGACTGTACTGAATAAAGAAACAATACAACTTGATGTTGCTATCTTTCTTATATCACATTTGGAATGCCAAAACTATTTCCAACCATAAATAAAACTCAAAAAATTTTATCACCTGCGTGGTCCACAATAGCTTGTGTCTTCGCCAGAGAGCAATATTTTTGTCATGTCCTGCAGTAGCAAAGACCTCATCATCAGGATGAACCGCCAAACCCCATAGTTGTCTGCCATGACCAAAAACAACTTGATTGAATCTTCTCTGCAGAGAACCCTCAAGTATGTTGTTTCGCGTAGTTCCCACATAAATATTCCCATCATTTCGTCCAGGTCGTTGCGGATATATACTGCGGACTCCGCCCGCCGATTCTGGCAACTGTGATGATAAGTTAATTATATTAACTTGTTTGAATAAAATTTGCTTTTTGATAATTAGAAGATTTTTATTTAATAAGTATTTGATCAATTTGTCATCCGAAAGAAAAAAATATTAATTTTATTTAAAAAATATTAAATATTAATCTAATATATTGGAGTCATTTTTACTCCATTTTTACTCCCTTTTCATTATAATTTTGAAGATAAAAAGAAACGGTTAATTTTTTTCTATATTTTCAATAATTATAACAATTTGCAAAATCGAAAATTAAAATCATTTTTTTAGATTTTCAAATATATTGTGTTGTCGTAGATAAAAAATTGTTATTAAATCAATTTATTTTGTTAATGGTTAAAATTGAGAAAATAAGATTTGATTATATTGCGTGAATTTTCTTTCTATATCTTTGTTTATTCTTACCTTTGTATCGGTAATGCGTTTATAGTTCTGTAATGAATCCCAAGCTGCTATTTTTCTATCTTTTTCGCCACCAGAAAGTAATGTGCCTTCCGATAACATGACGAGGGAGCTAATGCCTTTGTTGTGCGCTTCGAATTCCATTCGCACAAAATATGCCCCATCTGCATCCACCGAATATACTGTGATAAAACCGTCACTATCCGCTGTGACGACATCACCATCTTGTTCAAACTGAATACTTGTCACATGTGTACGAGATGGCTAAAACATATCGAATCATTTTTAAAGTATATAAAAATTTAAAAATTATATAATATTACACAATAATAGTTTGTTACAAATTTATATTCCTGATTAATAAATATAATGAATACAATCTAATTAAATTTTATTATTCATTAATTTTTCAATTTTTATGAACTTTTTAGCAATGAATTTATATAAACTATATTAGATATTCGATATAAAATTTAACATACATAACAAACATGTCTACACATACACATACACGTGTGTGTATTTGGAAAAAATATTGATCCTTATTAAAATATTAACTTTATGCAAATTCTTATACATTAGAGATTCTATAGTATTACAATATTAGTAAAATTTACAATATTGAATATTTAAACATATTTATAATATTGAATATTTAACACATAGATTTCACATTAATTTACCGGTTTAATGATATCGGTTCGCTCAAAGAAACCGTCTTTTCGCCGATTCCAGAAAGTCAAATGACCACGCCCATGCGTTATTAAAAGATTATCGTCCAATGGATGAAATGCCGCTCCCGTGAGATCTTCTTGCATGGTCTAAATGGATTGCATATAATATATTCTCGATTGCATATATATATATATATATATATATATATATATATATATATATATCACGTTCGTGCATTTAGTGATAAGAGAGAAATTTAAATACTGACAAAATGTAAATATTTATAGTATACTATTAATGAAATACTGATAAAAATTTTATATAAAATACAATAATAATAATAATTAACAAGAAACTATTGACAAAAAATATAATTGATGTATTAATAACCGATTAATAATTGAGATGTTTTATATTATAAAAAAAAAAAGGAAAAACTTACAGCGACCTTGCCCAACAAGTGACCCCATTGCCACTGCCATACTGAAAGTATGGCTTCTCTTCCGGCATCCACGGCGAGTACGTAACTACCACCATTCTGTATGTTAAATAATTAAAAATTTACATAATGCCTCTCTTAATCAATTATTGATTATTAATTATAAATCGTTTTTTTATTTGAAGTAATATTACCAATTGTGAAAACGCTAATGCTGAAACGCCCATCTGAAATTCGGTCATACCAAATACGTATAAGGTAAGAAGAGTTTCCGTCGACCATATACGAACATGCGACTGCGCCTTTCTGTGCCTACCCGCCTTTTGACCTGACGCAACGAGTTCTCTACTAGGATGAACCTAGAGAATGATAATAATTTGATTAATAATGTTTAATTAAATACAATAATTGTTGGATTTTAATAGCAGTAAATAATTATTGGAAAAGAGTAAGTTTTTAATTTACTTTCTTATCGCGTAGCGATTACTTACTTCCATACACGTAATATCTTCTGTATGACCGATATAATGTCGTTGCGCACTTTCTTCTCGATCGAAAAGAATAGCCACAGCTGCGACATAATATAATAATTCGCCACTCGGCAAAACCCAAAGATTTCTGCGAGTATCAGTTCCTCGATAACCATAAACCCACTCAAGTTGTAACTTTTTTTCAGGTGGCGAATTGTCTACTGGTGGTAAATGGGAAGGGGGATAGAACGATCGTCTAAGTCCCCTGATCGTCACTTTGGCTGGTTCTTCGCGTAGTACTTCCACAACGCTATAATCTATCAATGATATAACATGTCCTATTTAATCCTAAAGTAGTGTTTGTTTAGAAGAAGAAAGAAATTTGATTAAAAATAGAGAAATATCAAGCAAATCTTGGAGTATTTTTTCTTTTTCAAGCAATTCCTATAATAATATTAATTATATCTTTCAAGCAAGATGGATTGCAAAAATAATAATTTTTTTTATGATTCCATTAATAATTTTAATCAAGTCTTTCCTTTTCTTTCAAATATTTTTTTTCAGAGAACATTAAATTATTTTTTAACAATACAAAACTTAGAATTAGAAGAATAATTTTTGTTATTTGAATTTTTGTAAATTTTTATTAGAAAAGCGATGTGCTTTGATTGAACTTGATAAATTTATTTTAATTTTATTTTGTTTTATTATATGATAGAACAACCTATAATGTTCTGTCTCTTGATATCAACCTTTAGTGTATATATATATTTCCAAGATACATATCAATCGTTTTATCAATATTCAAATTAATGCCGAGATAATAAGTTATTTTATGTTAATTCAAATTTAATGTTTGATCTTAATACAATCTTAAACAATCTTATCGTTAGCTCAATCTTGAACACGCAGTCTAATAAACACTTAAAGATATACGTCTTTTTAATATTTAAATGGCGTAAAGAGTAGCAATAAGATTAATGCTGATTGGCTTATTAATTATTTTTTAGTGACGTTAGAGCTTTACTGATAGCTTTATTGATTAAAAAAGGGAGATATAAATGTAAAGAATTTACGGTATAATTTGCTCGTTATTAACATTGAAAAACTAGTAATATGAAACTAATCCAAATTAATTAAAACTTTGATTATGAAAATAATTAATTATTTTTACCGTTTACTCGAATAACTTCTGAATCAGGCATGTATAATGCTCGAGGTCTGCTCTTGCTGCGAGCTCTTCTCTGACGACTAATGTCTTCTACAACAGTAGGTGGTCCACGTGATCTCGATCTCCGTATCGGGGATGCTGTGATACCACCGGCCATAACGAGAGCTGATCCAGTACCCAGATAAAACGTATCCATATCTGCAAACTCATTTCTCAGCTGCGAGAAACTTCTCACCTAGCAACAAATTGTATATTAATTTTTTTGCTTCGTATTACAAATTATTATAAGGTAAAAGGAACGCAAACAATAATAATTAATTCAATTTAATTTCAATATTTTATAAAATCATATATACGTATATACATATAAATCATGTATATATATATATATATATATATAATTAATTCTAGAAGCTTCATTTTTTCAAGTTTTTAAGTTTATGCCTTTATAAAGTAAACCTCTATCATGCTAATCAAGCATTACATGATATATCGCATTTTTATGATATATTGATTTCTAAATTTACTTATGCAAAAGATATATCGAATATAATGAATATATATGTAAGACAATATATATATATGTGTGTGTGTGTGTGTGTGTGTGCTACGTGTGTGCAATTAAGACTCACATGTGTTATTGATTCATAAATATTAGAAATTATAGAAATATGTAATGTAAAATGCGTATTTTATTTAGATACACATACATAAAAGAGAGAAAAAGAAAGGGCCGTGAGAGAAAGAGAAGGGGGAAAGAGAGAGAGAGTGAGAGAGTGAGAAGTCGATAATGTGCCATTCGTCGAAGAAAATTGGTCTATTTGAAATTCATATATGATCGTGACCTGAAAAGATGGATCTCTGACCTTTTTATAACACGTGGGGGTACGTTCGTCCCACTTAACGTCATAATCACCTTATGAAAGAAATGTATAACTATATGTAAAAAATATATTGCGATGTCAAAAATCTGATTCGGTGTGCTTGATATTTATACTTTTTCCATCTTTTTATCTTTATGTTCTTAAATGATGTGTTTTAAATAAGTCAATTTTATGAAAACAGCATATTTAATATAGTTTTCAGAACATGGAGCATAAAAACTATAATGATTGCGTTTTCGTCACGTCTTGATTTGATAAATATATATACATATCGCGCTAACTTTTGTAAGCATTTAAGTTGAATATATTTTGCAATATAAATGTAAATCATCCTGTTAATATAAACCTAGTATAACTTAAAAGAGCAAAATAAATAAATTTTGTTTACAAAATTACAAATAAAACATTATTATCTTCCTAAATATGAAACATTATTGTCTTCCTAAATATGAAATTTATACTATGAATTGTGTATTTGTGTTTCGACAATATTTAACAAATCTGAAAAATTATAGCGTATTATGTTATACGAAAATTTCTTCATTTTTTCCTATAACTATAATTTACACATTGATTTGGAAAAAATTACAAATAAATATTTTTTTACAAAAATTTAAATGCGTCAAAACATTACTTGTCACTTTAATGTCATATGTGGTGATGGTGTTTTTTATGTAATATTCAATATTCAATTATCGAAGGATTTATTCGAAAGATTTAGCTTAGAAGAATATCCTCTCTATTTCGTATACGAGAACCTGATATATGATATGATTATATAATACAATTGTTAGATATGATGCTACATTATATTCCTTGTGTACGTATGTAGTATGTATACGTGTATAAAATCCTAAAAACATAACATATAAAAATTTCTCTTGAAGGTGACTTATGAGATGTATAAGCAATAACCTTATTTCTTACGATCTCGAGTGAGAACTGACCCCGTTATCGTCACGCTTCGAGTTTTACCCCTCCCCGTTTTACCTCTGCTTGTAGCGCGCTATGCATATTTATGGACTAACGTCGCTTTCAAGCTGACTTTGCAAGTACGACGCCGATATCTCGGATTTACATACAGCTTTTTTCTTTTTTATACTTTCAAATCACGCATTCTTTTTCAGATTTAAAAAAACATCGACCATGTTGTTTTGTTTGAATTACAAAAATATATTATATATTATGTATTATATTACCTCTTGTCCTGAAACAGTGAACATTCTCTTGGCTCCGTTCATCTTCAATACTTGTCCAAGATCTTCTAGAACTTCCTCGAAAGGTTGTGATGTGCGAAGATTTAGTAAAACCCGGCACTAACAAGTTAAATTAATTTAATCAGAAGTTAGATTTATACATATATAAAAAATTATGTCGTTAACTATAAGAATTTAAAACCTAATAATAGTAATAAAACTGAAAACTATTGATTTTTGTAATTTTGTGATTCATCTCATAGTACATTTTTTTCGTAGAATGAGAACATTAATTACACTTTTTATAATATGTGTATCCTAATGTTCAATCAAGTTAATATTAGATTTATTATCATTATTTTTTTTGAATTTATTCGAAGAAAGCAAACCGAAAGCTACTGTTTGTATCTTGCTTTCACTATAAAAAATTATTTAATTTATTATTTATTTAACGATATAAAAAACTATAAAGTCACCAGATGATAATTAAAAAATGGTAATAATTCAATCGACCAACTCTGGCAAATAAGTGATTTTATTGAATATTCACAACGTTTCGGCCATGGGTTTCGGCTCTTATCAAGTGCTATGTTCTTAAAACAAAGTAAATCACAACTTTTTTAAAAAACAAAGATTCGATAATATTCAATAAAATCACTTATTTGCCAGAGTTGGTCGATTGAATTATTACCATTTTTTTTATTTATTTAATTTATTATGTAATTATTATTTATTTAATATTTATAAAATAAATATTAAATAAAATAATTATACACAAACGTACGTGTATATGTAAATTATATGCGCATTGAAAAAATAAAAAACCTTTGTGACTGTTGCGTTGTCGCGATTAAAATAAAATTTAATTAGAAATATGTAAATATTATATTTACAAAATATAAATTTAAAAAGTCAGTTTTAGGCAAATAAAATAAAAAAAAATACAAATTACAAACTAAATTACATTTAAGAATTGAGTAAATAATAGAAAAATTATATTATAAAAGAATTATATGTATATAATTGGAGTTAAAACTATAATTTATATAAAATAGGAAATTTATTTATCTAAATATATGCATTTAACTAAATATATAAATAAAATACATTGTTTCAAAAATTATTAAAAATTACGCTTTTAGAGGAGAACTGTGTTAATTTATTTACACGTACAATTGAGATGGATCATAAAAAACCTGATGTTAATATACAAAGATTTAAGACATTAACATTTAATATATTAATTAATCAATCTCCATTGATAATACCTGAACAGTATGATCATGGTTGTTGACAATACGAATGACACGACCCGAAGAAGGCTTTCCACCGCCAGGGGGTGGTGCTTCTTCGGTGATGGAAGCTTTCCGACTAAGACTCGGCACTACTGGTGGTCTACTTTGCCATCCTCCAACTGCACCTCCGGTTCCGGTGGCACCGCTTCTACTGCCTCCACCGCCTGCCGGGCTTGTATACCAAGTGTTATTTTTCTTCCCATAACTGGCCGGCTATGGTAAAAAATTATAATCGTTAATGTCATTAATTTAGGATGCTTTCCAGCAAGGAAACACAGATAGACACACGGAGAGAATTTTTTAGAATTTATCCTGAAAATCATGGTAATCGTACGATAATATGGTGTGGGGAGAATAAGAGTTTCTCTGATTAATATTTACCACAATAAAAAATATTAATAGGTATATAGTAAAATTAATCGAGTATATTTTATATCTTATTAATCTACAGCGGTGTGTCGAGTTATGTAATCTTATTTCAATTTGATAGAAAAGCATTTATAGCAATTATACATATGTTTAAATTATAGAATTAAAAAAATTGTTTTCTCAAATATTAAACCAAATCTGACAAATGTCGCATAAATATTTGGAGAACCTGCATCATGTCGGCCGGCAGCGATATCACTTCAAAGGAATCGCTCATTAACACGACAAAACTGTCCGTCCAGCAACTGGAGTCTTGATTACAAGATTCAAGTTCCGAGTCGCTACAAAAGTCCGCTTTTTCTTGACTGATGCCAAAATCCGACTCCAGATCGTCCGATCGGGACGAAGACGAACTTGCCGACTCAATTGTGAACTTTAACGAACCCCTTTCCAACCCTAAGGTTCACTTACTTCACTGTTGTCAACTTTCAATGTCAAATGTATAATCCACAAACTCACATGATCCAAGAAACATTTCACTGTTTATCTTGTGAATTAAAAAATCGTGATTTTTTAATCTAATTGATTTTGATTCTTCCGAAATTTAATAATCTTGATAATCTTCTACGAGCATCGAAAAGAACTAGCAAAATGTTTTGTTAATCATATAGAGACAGGCTAATAAAAATGTATTATGATGAAGATTTTGTAAAACGATGAAAAATCGAAAGAAAGTTTACAATCGCGATTCATATGATTCAAGACTTTTCATTTCATTGTTCATATTATGATCTTAACAATTTTCAAGCTTCAATTTTTAATTAAAACAATTTCAATCTCAATCTTTAATAATTTTTTGTAATCAAAGATGAAGAATATTTTCTTACTGAGAAAATTGGAGAAATTGTGCAAAAAAGTGTTACAAAATAAATGTTTTCTAAAATAATGAAACTAAGTCCACTTTGGTCACAATTGTAATTTAACAAAAAAACATCTTTCTTTTACATCGGTTTCAAGATAAAATTTATCAAATTTAAACAGCAAAAGTTGCGACGACGCGATTTAATATAAAAGTCTATCGCAGTTATCTTCTGATCAATCTTGAATTGCGTGACACGATTGCTATTTCTCTTCCGAATATTGACAGAACGGGCCACTCTTGGGCTGGTGCAACCGCGACTGTGTTCAATGGACGACTACTGAGCCAGGTAGGTGGGATAAATGTATTGAAGAACTAGGGTGCTGCAACATCCCCTACCACACCCCTCCACTTTGCGAAGGGCCACCGTCGCTCAAGGACAACCATCCCCTGACCCTTCACCTCCTTTTCCATCTTCTACGCCTCTTCTTGCTTCTCCAACCAGTAATATTAATTCAGAATACTGATTTCAGAAATCACACAAGGAAATCACGGCTATTTTGCATCTGTTTATGGTTCTTAATGAATGCATTGCTCTTTATATGAAACTTGTTTCAATTAAACGAAATTGTAAAATATGCAGGTTTGTTGTGTAATTACAAAATATTTCAAAGATGTGTCGTCTTTGATAGAATTTCATAATTTTCTTGAATAATGTAATAGGTTTTTATTTTAGTTTTTATTATGGTCAATTATGAAGAATATACAATAAAAGGAAAATATATAATTTGATGATTCGAATTTTGCGTTGTAATTATATATTATATACATTTATATACATTACATGTGTGTGTGTGTGTGTGTGTAATATCTTATAAAATCATTCTTTTATTTCAATAATAATATTAAAGTCATTCATTTATTAAATTAAATGTAAGTTATTTTTCTTATAAATCGGTTTATTTTTGCTGTTTTTCTTTTATTATAATATAATAAATATAACAGATTTATTAAATACATATATCAAACAATTGAAATGTTTCTTTTCCTACTATATCTTTTAAATAAATATTTTTCATGTTATTGAATTATCTATTAAAATTATTATTTTTCTGCTAAATCATGTTTGCACAAATTATAATTCTTTCATTGAATTTTCTGCTAAAGAATATTTTTTATATTAGTTTATGTTAATAAAGAATATTATTAGTAATCTTTAACAAAGATTAAAGTTTTACATATTCAAAATTTAAATTAAAGATACTATCTTAACAGATTATTAAATATATCAACTTAAAAAGAGAAAACCAGTCTAACAACTGAAAAGAAGACTATTTTTAGGAATTTTTTTTCTGACAAATATGTTTTTTTCAAATCACTAGGTTAATATAACAAGTACATAATGTCAACTCCCTTGTAAAATTAAAAAAAATATTAATACTTATACAGTTGTAGTTACAATAGTCAATAGTATGAGCTGTCTCAAAAAATTATTGGCGCATGCATAGCGGGCCAACGAAAGCTCTAAAAAATAGTATTTTCTTAAAATATGAAACAACAGCTTTAATTGCACGTGGAATTTCTGATTGAATAATTTATTATTTTTATAACGTTAAAAAGGTCAATTTCTCACCGATTTAAAAAATTTTTTATTATACGTAAAATTGAAATTATTGTTTGGCATATTTTTAGAAAATACTTGTCTTTTTTGTTTCAGAGTTTCACGCTATATGCATATGCTCGTTTAACATAACTTTTTTTTTAAAGTAGTTTAAATTATGTACTTTACAATATTAATACAATGATTTTTTTGGGGAAATAAATATTTGCTAAAAAAAATCTTTACAAATAACCTTCTTTTTTAGGCGTTGCATTGGTTTCCCCTGTATTTATTTCGATAAAAGGTAATAAAAGCAACGGCGGAAATTAAAGATATCCACACCTTCCTAATAAATCTGATAAATCTCTAATTAGAAAAAATTTTGATTCCTCGGGAAGCTTAGCCCATGTTAAAGCACTTAACTTGATTGACTAACTGAGGCCAATATTAAAAGTGTATATCGAAGAAAAGAAAAAGACTAACAAGATTAATAATCCAATAAACTCAGTTATGATCTTGAAGCACGCATTTTATCTAACAATAAGATAAAGTCACGTATCACACTTTCTATCATAATAAGTTATAAAAACAAATAATGCGATTAATAACATACCAATATTCTTACATATTTTTATATATTTAACAATCAATTTAAAAGTAATTAAATTATTAATAAACTACAATATAACTTACAATATTTTAATAAATCTTTTTAAAAGATATAAGGTTTTTATTTTTTAAAAATTACATTTAAAATGATTGATGATGACGATCGACGATGATGATGATTGATTGATAATGAACAATTCAATTTTCATACTTTAGTATAATTTAGAATAGACTATATTAATAATACTACGTAATATGTCATCCGAAAATTCTCTTATACATATACATAAATAATATATGAATGAGAAATTTTCATAATTCTTTCTGATTATGGATTACATTATGTTTTGTAAATTGTGATAGGTTTTTAAACTATATTATATAATAAATTCTATTTTTTTTGTTTTAAATAAAATATTGAATTAGTTTTCACGTAACAAATATATTTTCATTATATGCATATAGATGAGTATAATGTACGTAAAAAATAACAATGTAATTATAACAATCGCGTGCAATGTTAGATTGATTATAAGCTTGAAAAAAGCTAGAAAAAATCACGCAGTTGATAAGCCATGAATATAAATCTTTTCGATAAAACTCAATGTCAACTCCAATGCTTAAAAATTCCTTAGATATCTCGACAGATTATGAAAAAGTCTTATATAAGTATTGATGCTTTAAAAATTTTTTAAACTAGAAATAAGTCAAAAATGTAATATAATTGGAGAAGTAATTTCTTCAAATAAGTTAAAAAAGATTCAGATTGCTCACATTGTTACGTTGCTCGCATATTCAAGCTCGATTTTTTAATTTTGTATACTATATATTAATAAAAAAATGTATTACATATTTTTACTTATTTTTCTACAAAAACAATTATTTTATATATTTTATTATATTATATACTTATTATATTATGTACTCTATATAAAGATTTGTATGTTAATATTTATTTATAATATTTTATTAGTTTCATATATTAGGTTTAATTATAATTGTTATTATATCTTATTTCACATTATTTTTTATATATATGTGGCATATTATATCTTTCTTGTTGTTAGATAATATTGTGAAAAAGACTTCCGTCCTCTCCAAGTTTGCCGAAACTTTATATGAATTTTTGTTCATAAAACAAATCTTTCAAATTTTAGTTAACAGATACGTGTTTTACGCACAAAAATATATAATGGTATAAATTATAAACATACTATAAGTATATCGAATATATCCGACCAATACTTAAATGTATATTTTTTTATAGCTTAATCCATAAATAATAAAATAAATAATTTGACTCACATTTTAACTATATTCTTCTTTTCCGATTTTGGTGTATTTCGATTCCGGATTCCTCGTCGGCATCATTTTTCCTGAAAGAAAGTAACCTCTGCGTCGGAAACTATTTTCGTAGAAGTTTTGAAACACTTGATTCGCATTACTTTGATTATTCGCGACGAACGAGCGGCGATGCCTGAATAAGACCGATGCTCTGTTTTTGCATCGCCGCTTTTTTTAGGCCACTTATCAGAAGACCTTTATCAAACAACGATGGTAACGCGCTCAGAAATTGCCGATATTCTCGAATTGATCACTACGCTTTCACTATTTTTTCCTTCACTGAATATTTAACGAGGAAGAAATCGCGGAGATCGAGAGCAACGCACGATATTGAGATAGACGATAGAACAATAACGACATTGCGGTGCGATATATCGGAGTTGACCTTGGCGATTTTTCCGAAGATTACGAACTTTGTTGGTCGCGCCTAAT